ATTTACTTCATCTCTCTGCGCTTTGGTTTTCATTTATAAATATGATTTCACTGATTAATTTGATGATGACACTACATTTTTTTTATGATTAATTCACGGAATGAATATATGGAGGTATAAATGAGAGAGAGAGAGAGAGAGAGAGAGGAGAGAGAGAGAGAGAGAGAGAGAGGATTTGTTGTAATATTACTTAGTTATGTCTGCTCGTTGGTGCTATATCCTCCAATGGAAGTGGGGTTACATTATTGAAACTGGCATTGAGGTTTATGCAAGCTCTATAAAGTTAATAAATTTGAATATTTATCATTGATTTTTTATCAACGCATTGGTAAAGTATCACCGACAGAGAGTATAATGCATTATCATGACATCTCATTAGTCAAGAACAGCGAAGGTTTCGCATGGCATATATATAGCATATACATTGCATATTGAAAAATGCTTTAATATTAATTACCATAGCAAAGTTGGAATGGAACATTTGATCCCAACCCTATAAACACCACGTGCTTTAAATACACTTCTAGAACTTTTCCTCTCGACCTCTGTGATGGCCATATTATTTTGAGATAATATTTAACATCAATTCATCAATAAACATGAACGTGTGAAAATATATGTAACAAAGCAATACTTGCATGGACACTTCTTACAGCCAATCACGTCAAGATGAACGCATACACTGGCACCTTAGGGCTGTCTGCCCGGAATGGGTGGAAATTGATTCCACCCACAATCCTACAATTACGTAGACCCTCATGGATTTTTATGAAGACTGTGCACTGCATGTTGTATGATAATAAATGATTAATTCTATCGAATAATGGTGCTCTTGATATTTTTAAGGAATCTCTCCAAGAAACACATGTAAAAATTTAAGCAAATGACGCTCTGTCAAGGATTCGTTTTCACATATTTCAATAATAATTTCTCTTGGGTGCATTTTGATCTCTGTACCTATGACAGATTATATAATTAAAAGTTTTGTCCAATTACTCTATATTTCCTTTGATCATGATGGTAATTTTTAAATACACATTTTCCATATGGAACTTTTAAATTTCATAATGACATTTTTCTTAATGTGTCAACCTCTCCATGAATATCCCATTATCATCGTTGCATCATTTTCCAGTGAAATATCAATTCAGTTATATGTCATAAACATCGAGGATGCGAGAATTATCTCGAGTATTTCTGTTGTTGCTGTTTCCGACAGCTCCTCTTCGGCCCATTTGACCTGTTCTAGAATTCCTTTCAGCAAATGAAGCGATGTCTTCGTCTGAAACGAGAAATTAATTTTAACTATTTTTCATTCAGGCTTTTGAAACTGACCATGCATATGCAGTTGGTTTCCATTTTTGGATATCTTCAAAACTGGTCTAAACTAAAATACTGAAAGGCAGAGTCAGTCTTTGTAATAAAAGAATACTTGCTCAAAAAATAATATGTCAATTCATTTGCTTGTTAAACAGAGAAATACCTTTAATAAATTGCTTAAAAAGATCTACGCAAGTAACTACATCTGCTAAATTAGTCTACTTATGAGCACAAATACAAAGTGGTTTGGTTTCCTAGAGTAAATAATATCTTGTTATATTAAGAAAACTCAATGTCCTAATGATCTTAAGCCTGTGGAAAGAACTTAATAATAATAAAAATATTCAGTCATGAATGATTTTCCAATAAAGCAATGAAAAATGTGCAATACTTATATATATATATATATATATATATATATATATATATATATATATATATATATATATTTTTATATACATATAACTTTATATATATATATATATATATATATATATATATATATATATATATATATATATATATATATATATATATATATATATACAAGGTACTATGGTGTTCTGGAAATTAAAATTTATTAAAAATATTTAGCAATACAAGATATTTAATAGTTTAAACCTGTGAACACAAAACAGGAATAATAATATTAAATTATGAAAGGTCCTCCATGAAGTAATATATATATATATATATATATATATATATATATATATATATATATATATATATATATATATATATATATATATTTATATATATATATATATATATATATATATATATATATATATATATATATATATATATATATATATATATATATATATATATATATATATATATATATATATATATATATATATATATATATATATATATATATATATATATATATATATATATATATATATATATATATATATATATATATATATATATGTGTGTGTGTGTGTGTGTGTGTGTGTGTGTGTGTGTGTGTGTGTGTGTGTGTGTGTGTGTGTGTGTGTGTGTGTGTGCGTGTGTGTGTGTGTGTGAGTGTGTGTGCGTGTGTGTATGTGTGTGCATAATCAAATAAGCACATTACTATATGTGGAAACATGCATAAATTACCCCGACCAGGACTTCAACATATGACATATAATTACCATGCCATGACACTACCAACTACACCACAGAA